CCCCCCCCCCCCCCCCCATAAGTTTTCTAACGGTCCGTCCCTTATATAGAGTGAATTCAATTCGGAAGTGATGAACGACATGTCCAAAGATCACTTCCGAAAATGATCAACACCTGTTTTCTATTCGTAATCACCTGAAGTGTATTTATTTAGGTTCCCACCATTGTGAGGATGATTTGAATGCTGTTAACATATATCTAGCCTATTCCTCCACCCTACCCAAGTACACAACTACAATTCGAGATTTTCTGGGCTGCCGGATAATACTATCTGAACAGTCTAGGATAAATAATTTGAAAGGTTCATTTTCTAGAATCTCTAATTTTTTCGAGCCCTCCTCGAACAGAAATTCCACTCTCTGGTTTCAGTCTTCTGTCGCACGTGCGGCTTTGGGCTTTTTTGAGTTATTAGGAAAAATCAGTCTCCCATCTTGGCCGTTTCGATACAGAAATTGAAAGTGTCGGCATGGTGAAGAGGACTTTGACCCAATTTCGTCTTGTTAAGGGACGCAGACCAGACCTCTCCGAAGCCTTATCCCGGAGGGGGGACTCCCGTATGAAAGGGGCGGGGATGCTCGTCGTCGTGTCACTTAAGGAATTTCAGATTTGGTCTCGCTTAGAGTATTCTGGGCTTAGGCTTGCATTAGAAGAAATATAAAAAACTACATATTTTCAATCTGTTTTATGACCTTTTATTAACTCGATTCATGTAATCAAAGTTTAAAATGATCGCTTTTAGGGGTCAAAAAAGGTTACTCCACGCCCAGATTGGTCTCCTGTAGGGGTTTTATTCAAAATTTCCGACGAGCATCCCCGCCTCTTTATAAGGAAGTCTTCCCCCCCCTCCCAGGAGCCTTAAACAGTAGTGTGGAAGAAGATGGTCTCAATGGGGTGGTTGGTTTTACAGTTGCCTTCGGTTTGCGGTTGCTTTCAGTTTTCCTTTATTTCCACCTAGGGAGAAAATTTTATGTACATAAAGTCAGAGGTCTTTAATTCAAAGACATCTGCATTTTGGGACTGAAGAGTACATGTTGACTCTAAGTTGCGATGTTGGTGTTTAAAATTTAGTTTACTTTCAGTTTCCCGTGTGAATATCATAGCAAAAAAACGATCATTATTTTTTCAGCAGTTATAACGTCTTCATTTATTTGCTTATTAATTTATTGATTCCTGATAAGTACAATTAAGTGCTCGAGGTAGGAAAAAAGAAAACAAAGTCTCATACGAGGTCGACACACCTAGAACCCACCCAACACAAAGCATAAATATCTCAAGAGTACTTTATGCAACATAAACTCACAAAAATAAAAGGTCATCAAGAAATTAGAAATAATGTAAGTAACAAACAGAAGCAGACTGTAAAGACCACAGGCAGACCACCCTCTGTTAGTGGGGCAGTTGTTGAATGAAATCTGAGCATCGATCTTTTGTTATTTTTTTTGGGCCGCCCCGTGCTGTTTTAAGCCGGCCATTTTGTGAGATGAATATTTGACCTCGGCGCTAAAGAAGGAGACAAGGCAGGCAGCAATCAGCCGCCAGCGCATGACCTAGTTCTGACGCCAAACTATTTAATTTCGTTCCTCGAAAATACCGGCTCCCAGTCCACTAGTAAGATATGTCTCCAGGCCTGCGCACAGTGAGAGCTCAGTTCGTCCACAATTTCTCGAGAAAAGCGATCCTGAAGTTGCAAGACCAGCTTTCTCGACATGATCGGTGCAAAATTCTCGACCAAAGGCATTTTAGGTATGTGCGTCGATCCAAATCCATTAATCAGCGTATCGCGACCGATGTAAAAACCTGTGTGGGGCAGGGTTGGGGTTTTGAACTGACAACGGTCGCGATACGCTGATTGGTGGATCTGGATCCACCAATCGAGGGATCTCAAGGGATTATTGTTGGTCAAAGGAACAGACAAAAGAAAGGTTTGGCACAAGGCACAATATTTCGTGATAGGAACATATGAACATGTTTGTGGAAAACACAACCGTGAGAATTACAAAAATGTAAAAAAATATTATTTAATAGGTGCACGGGAACTCCATCTTCCTGCTGGACTACTTCATTATTTTCAGCTCGTAACTAATCGACCGCTTTAGTACCATTTAGGCAGTGACACAGAACATCTTAAAGAACCTTTTTTAGAGATTTCTCCCTTACTATAGTGATAGGAAGTTTGTCCCTGAGTCTCCACCCCTTTCGATCTTTCTGTAACCATTTGTTTATCGTCATTGATGTGGTTCTGAGGAAGACCTCTGATACTTCTATGATTGATAGGAATCAAAATCATTGGAATAAGAAATGCGACCAGAAGAACACCACCAGTCATATAGAATGAGTAAACATAACTTCCTGTGTTGTCCACTATTAAACCTGTTCAAAAGAAATGGCAATCAAAGTCTGCTTTTACAACAAAATAAGTCAAATTCTCTGAGGGCGTATTTTAATAGTAAGAGACTTACTTCATTCGAAAGGGCTGTAAACAGAAGCACCTATTTTCAAAATATTGTGATATATATTTTGACTTACGCAAATATTTCGAGAACAGAACATGATCGTCTAGGGGTTTCTTTTTCCCTGACGAGCGTTCCATACGGGATCACCCTCCTTTAGGCTGTGTTCAACCCGTGTGGAATGTTGCGCACCAGCACAATACATTAATCGTAGCAGAAAACAATTTAGATCGTTACAGTTAGTAATAGACCTTTTCGTATACTTCACTTCCTTTTTCAAACCATGTAATGTTGCCCCCAGATTCCCAGTTTGTTTTAAATTTCATCACGTCCATGAGTATTATGATCATGTATGCAGGATTTATGAAAAGATAAATGGCAAATTCCCTCGAGAACACAATGATCACATGACCTTAATTGCGAAAACAAAACATACAAGCCAAAAAGACTCATTACAGGTATTAACTCACCAGCAATGGGGCTACCAGCAGCTGCAGCTATTGAATAAAGTACGTTGCTAGTACAGAAGGACGCTGTTACTCTTTTAGCATCCACGCAGGTCAGCTGAGTATACACAGCTGATGTCATGAAAATTCCGTCACTGAAGCCATAGATAAAGCTGAAGACGATTAACAACCAGTATTTTGTGGCAGCAAACTGAAGCAAAAGTGTGGAAAGAGCAGCCAATAGCATGGATGCCTGATAAATAAATATGGAATTTACTTTTTTGATGTTGCACAACTTTCCTGTTATGATTCTTGCAAGAGATGAAGCAAGTCCAATAAAAATAAATAAGCGAGAAGCAGCTTGGGCGCTTATTCCATTATCCTCTGAAAACTTCACCTACAAAAATAATCAAACCAGTCCGTTTAGTCAGTTAGGATATCATTGGTCGTTCACTGTGAAATACTTNGCAAGTCCAATAAAAATAAATAAGCGAGAAGCAGCTTGGGCGCTTATTCCATTATCCTCTGAAAACTTCACCTACAAAAATAATCAAACCAGTCCGTTTAGTCAGTTAGGATATCATTGGTCGTTCACTGTGAAATACTTCACAGAACTTGCGCGCGTATTAAGCAGGAGTTGATGACGTACCTGATAAATCGAATATCAGCGTGCCTAGCGCTCTGTATTTGTCGTAAGTTTTCCGTTTGCAGTAACATTGGGTCTCGCCATTATGTCATTGAGCTCGTCAGCGTAAAAATCATTAAGGGGCGGGGCTACAATTACTCCATTGCAACACAGTATAAATTTATTCTTTCCATGTCCAAAGGGTATGTAATAAAACTTACCAGATATATTAATGGAATGTATATGGCAAACGCTGTCACCATAAAAGAAGTGGTAACTGCCACGAAAGTAGGAATTTTCCACACGCTGCAGTAAAGAGAAATGTTACTTCTTTCATCTTTATTGTCCTCATTATTTCTTGCTAAATCGAGATCTTTAGTTTCCTGCAATTGTATGTTTGGGTTGTAAGTCAAGCCCAGGAGGCAGACAAGGGCGAAAGCCACGACCATGATCCTGTAAGTGCCTCTCCATCCAAATGAATCCAAAAGAAATTGAAGCAACGGACCTGTGAAAAAGACGCCCGTACTTTCCCCTAAGGCTACAATACCAGTTGCCATGGACAACCTCTTTTTAAAGTACTGTGCGATTACAAGATAGCAGGAGTTGTAGATAAAACATATTCCTAAGCCAATTATCACACCATGGGTGAAGTACATGTGAGTGAGGCTCTTAGCAAATGACGATACCACCAAGCCGATCATGCACAGCACTGCTCCCAGGAAGTTCGTGATACGACAACCAAAACGATCACAGAGATAACCAGGCAGCGGACTGGCGAACCATGCCATGCCCAAGGTTAGCGAGCCGAGGCCAGCTGAAAACAAAGTTGACGTTATTGTAAAGATGATTTAAAATAATCTTGTTTTCAGATGTCTTCATATCTTCTCAGCTTAGAAGACCTTCAATTTCCTCATATTTGATGATGAAACCACTAATCTATGACAGCGTTTAAGAGCTGGAACAGTAAAATGAGTCTAGCTAGTTTTCCTTAGAAGAGTAAGCCTCAATTTTAAGGTATTAAGAAGGAGTAGCTTCAGCTGGACCAAGCTGTCGGTCAGCTCGACTAAAATATGATCATCGGCATTGATGCGTAACCTTAGAAATATAAGGATCTGTGGGGAGAAAACGAGTGTAACTAGTAGTACGAATGTGTTAACAATTTAAATAAAACTGCTGTAATCTCTTGATACCCTCACTTTAGTTTACATTTGTTTCTTCTGTCCTGTGTGGTCCCCGAGCCGATTTTTGGCCATTTTATGGTTTTTAGTGAACCCAGGTTTGTTCTCTGTATTGTATTATAGGATTAAGGTACAAAGCCTAATACTGTAATAGCAGCTATCAACCAGGCTACTGTCCTGCTGAATGGAAAAACAAAGACTAATTTCTAGTATGTAAATTTACCCCTAGTCAATTTGAAGTCTGATAAAATATGTTCTTACAGACATATAGGGTTCAACCTATTTTAGCATCATCTTATTTCTGTCTAGTTTGTTTGTTTGTTTTTGTTTTTGTTTTTGTTTTTTACAGCACTGAATCCATGTCATCAAATGTGGCCCAAGTTTTGAATGAACATAGGTGTTACGTAACGTTCAAAATATAGTACGCATTTTTAAGGAGAATAAACGATAGTTTCTGTAGCCTATGAATGTGAAAGGATATAAATAAAATCGGCTAACCTAACTTATTATAAGCTGTGTGTTTCTTCTCAGTCTCCTGTGTGGTCCCCGAGAAGATTTAAGATAAATAGCCATTTGATGGGTTTCATTCGAACCGGTTTGTTCTAGTATATGGAATTAAAGGGAAAACTTGAAACTAGCTTCAATAAAACCCATAACTGAAATGGCCATACATTAGCTCGAAATGGAGCTACCATGAAGTACACAGTAAAGAAGAAACACACAATCGTTTTTCAATTACAGTCGACTCCCGATAACTCGAACCTTCACTAACTCGAACCTCGCGCTAACTCGAACCAAAATCGATTTCCCCTGGATTTCCGTCATACATTTACTGTAATTTTCCCTCGGTAACTCGAACCCTCGATAACTCGAACTCCCGCTAACTCGAACCAATTTCTGTTTCCGCTCAGGTCATTTTCTATATAATTTTACCCTCGATAACTCGAACCATGTTTTGATTTCTTAAAAAGTCGGGAAAAAAAGCCGTCTACTGTCGTCCGAAACATTGAATTTTGGATTTCCTATTAAAACTTGTTGTAGAAGTATAGTTTACTAATGGAGGCTGATGTGGATTGTCACAGGCGAACGTGAAGCAGCTTTACTTCTCAAAGCAGTAAAACCGGCATGCTCTATTTAGGCTATGTTTTGTTACGTTACGTTCTGATTTATAATCTCGAGATATCTTTTAATTATCACTTGACATTTCTACGACCAAATGTGATTAAAATGTTCACCGTGCTGTAAAAACTGTTTTTACCTTACTCTCGGCTATTTTCTTCGAGCTCCCGATAACTCGAACTTTTTTCGATTTCCCTTGAAGGTTCGAGTTATCGGGAGTCAACAGTATACAAATATATTTCGAACGTTACGCAACAGTGCCGATGGTCATATTTCAGTGTAATTAGAATACGTGTAACGTAATATACTCACCAGTTGTTTCCGTTGTCTCGTCGAAATGTGCCATTAATGCAGGGAATAGAACGCCGAAACTAAGGACAAAGCCGGTGTTAAGAGCACCGCAAATTGCTGAGGAGATGCACACGACCCACGACCAACGACTGTCTGAGTGATGTTTGCCTCGGAAAAACCAGCATAGTTTTCCAAGTATCTCGTTAGAGTTTTCTTGAACATCCATGTGTGTGGCGTATGATTTTTAACCTAGACAAAAATACTTGATGGGGCAACACAGTCCGCATAACCAAATTCAAATCTTGTTGTAGGGTCTTCATGTATTTACATAGTAATTGATGATTGGTTAACTGACCATCATGTTTTCCGCCACAGTTTTGCATGAAGTATATCGTCGAATGTATTTGGATCCAACTAAAGGGAAAACATTCTAATATATTATAACTCGCGCTCTGATTGGCTGCCTATCGTCTATGACATCACCTGATAACTGGTGGGCAGTCTGAGCCGACTGTCTCTCAGTGTCCAAAACACATGCTTTTTTAACGCTAATCGTTTTCTCAGGAGCTAACTCCAGCCCTAACCCTAGGGCTAGGGTTAGGGTTAAGGTTAAAGTTAAGGTCAGCTTAGGATTACTTCAGAGATCCAAGATTTTTTATCCTAACCAGTTTTGAAGGTTTAGCTTGAATTTTTTGACGATACGTATCTTTTGCACTTGGTTTTAGATTCCCAACGCTAATCGCTTGCTGAGGAGCTTACCCGAGCCCTAACCGTAGCAGTTAGGTTAGGGTTCAAGTTACTTCGAGGCTCGAAGAAGTGGTCGATGATACGCGACTTTTCCACTTGTTTTCAGATTCTTTCGCAAGTACATTTCTGAGGAGCTATCCCCAACCCTAACCCTAGGGCTAGGGTTAGTAGGGTTACTTCGAAGATGGAAGATTTTTTATCCTAACCGGTTTTAAAGTGTTTATTTTTTTATTATTTTTTTTTAATGATTCACTTTTCTGCGATTCTTACGGGAAGAGGTCATTACAAGATGCTTTGTAATGCCGTACATAACCGGACGGACTCGGATGGTCACTGATCTACAACTTTTGGGCTGTGTTCACACTATACCCAATAGCTTTAGGCTGGCCTCATGCGCAGGCGTTTTTAGGGGAACTCGTATTTCGTCCCCCATCCCCACAAACGCCTGCTCAACCAAGAACAATATTCCTTTTCCAAGCTTAGTCAATCACATTGTACTTTCCAAATTCTGGAAAGTTGACCTTGACCTCAGGGTAACCCGATAATTACTCGATCTGTATGAAACACTGGGAAAGCTTTATGACCTCTAATAAATGTTAGACTCAGAGCTTCAAAAGTAAGATTAAGTTAGATTTTAGAATTTCAAAACTGTTGATTGGTCACTTACCACGCGAATAAAACAATGGGAAAGAAATATTGTTCTCCATTGAGCAGGCGTTTGAGGGGAGGGAGAAAATACGAGCTCCCCCAGAAACGCCTGCGTGGGAGGCTACTGTTGGGCCGCACGAAAACTATACCGGATAGGGTTTCGGCTCACACACAAGAACGCTTGCCAGTGGCGGCGCGATTTCTATGACGGAGTGAAGCACAGCCAGTATAGTATCATATACATATATACATGTAGCCTTATTTTGTGACTGAAATCTTTCTATGAAAGTAAACATTTTTATAATAATAATAATAATAATAATAATAATAATTATTATTATTATTATTATTATTATTATTTTTACTCAAGACATTTATTACCCTAATTACAAAGAACTAATTAAAAAGAAACTAATTACAAAATTCTAAACAACCGTAATAACAAGGAAAGAAAAAGGGAAAAGTATAACATATTTACAGTTATCTACATTTCACAATTATATACGTTACAGCCAAAAAACAGCCGCACAATTGCTGAAAGTGGCTTATTTCACAAACAGTTAATTAATACTTGATTATGAAAGTAAACATGATCATCCCTTTAGAATGAACAACCTAAGGGGCTGGAAATAGAACTCCAGAAAAAATTCAGGCTTGTATGATTCTTTCATGGTGCGTTGTGTTTTTTACCTTCAAACGGTTCGAGAGTGACACGCTTGAACTAATCTGGATTAGCTTAACTGACCTGACTGTAGGTTGTGATGTTGGTGTTTAACCATTGCAAATTTAAATCTCTTTACCCTCAGTTTCTAGTGTGAACATTATAGCGACAAAATGATCATTACTTTTTCAGCAATCATAACGTCTTCATTTATTTATCGATTTTCTGCTTGGGCACAAGCTCTCCACGTAGAACAAATGGACGTGAAGTCAAATATGAGGTCCAGACACTTTAACCCCACCCAAAATAAAGCATAAATTTAATATTAAGAGTATTTTATGCAACAAAGAAATCATAAAAATAAAAAGTCATCAAGAAAAAAGAAAAAGGGGAATAATAATAAAAAAAAAAACAACCAGAAAGCAGAATGTAGAGACATTTAGACCTGCCTTAAAAGAAACCGTTTTCAATATTTACAAGTAGAGTTCTTTCTGAGGTTTGAAGGATTATCCTTGGGACTGAGGTAAAGGGCTTTGGTACAATATTTGGTGATAGAAACACACAAATTTGTTTGAGGATCACGCAATCGTAAGGATTTTAGAAATGTAGAAAACATCAATCGGGTGCATGGGGACCCCATTCTACTCGACTCTTCAGCTCATAACTAAATTTTCGCTTGATACTTTTTAGGCACCCATAACTGCGATCCAAAAGAACTTCTAGATAGGAATTTCTTCTTGATGGGTTTGACCCTGAGTCTTAATTCCTTCCGTTCCTTGTGTAACTATTTGTTTATCGTCATTGACGTGGCTCTGAGGAAGAACTCTGATACTTCTATGATTGATAGGAATCAAAACCATTGGAATAAGAAATGCGACCAGAAGAACACCACCAGTCATGTAAAATGAGTAAACATAACTTCCTGTGTTGTCCACTATTATACCTGTTCAAAGAAAGGCCGATCACAGTTGCTCTTACTACAAAATAAGTAAATTAATCTAAGGGCGTATTATATTGGGAACCTTATTTTGCATTTGGCTATAAATGGAAGCGCCTATTTTTGGAATTTTGTGGTATATGTTTTAATTATGCAAATATCTCAAGAAGACTACGTGAGCGAGCAAACAAAATGTCATTAGCTTTTCGGGTACACCCTTATAAAAGAGACGAAGATGCTCCTCTTCTCGGCTAGAGGGGTGTAAATTGCTAGAACGGAAAGGTATTACTCAGGAGAGTCTGGAGGGAAATATATACAAACGCTGAGTACTGTCTCTCGCGCAATAATTAAATCACTACAGCTTGTTGCTGGTTGCGCGAATTGGTTGCCAGTTTTTAATACTTTTGTCTTTTCATAGTCGCCTATTGAATAGGGTCCGTTGCACAATTCATGCACAATTCATGCTCATTACAGATATTAACTCACCAGCAATTGGGCTACCAGCAGCTGCAGCTATTGAATAAAACATGTTGCTAGTACAGAAGGACGCTGTTACTCTTTTAGCATCCACGCAGGTCAGCTGAGTATACACAGCTGATGTCATGAAAATTCCATCACTGAAGCCATAGATAAAGCTGAAGACGATTAACAACCAGTACTTTGTGGCAGCAAAATGAAGCAAAAATACGGAAAGAGCAGCCAATAGCATGGATGCCTGATAAATAAATATGGAATTTACTTTTTTGATGTTGCACAACTTTCCTGTTATGATCCTTGCAAGAGATGAAGCAAGTCCAATAAAAATAAATAAACGAGAAGCAGCTTGGGCGCTTATTCCATTATCCTCTGAATACTTCACCTATAAAAATAATCAAACCAGTCAGTATATCATTGGTCATTCAGTATAAAATACTTCATGGAAGGTGCGCGTTTACGGCACGGTATTTACCTACGAGTCGTTGACGTATCAGAAATCGAACAAGGGAGCAAAGTTACGAATACGGCTTGTTACGTACACGGTAAATAGGAGTATTTATTAGTAGTAGCAAACTTTAAGCAGCAGAATGTAAGGAAGATTTAAGAAGTGAAGACGAAAAAGTAAAAAAAGACTCGTTTTACATTCTCCAATTCGTGCGATTTGCTCGAACCGCACCCAACGT